CGTTCATATTTGATCACATGCTCACTGAGAACCTCTGTGTGTATAGGGTCTTTCTGTTGCTAGTGTTATTGTAGAGCATATGGTCCATACTGGTGAATTCCCTTCTCTCTCTCTTTACAAATGATCTCCAGTATGCCTGTGATACTTGTTTAACCAAATTTTCTGTAGTTTAGTTATTAGAGTGATGATCAGTTGTTGTGCCAGGAAAGTTAGACCCAGGCAAGTTATCTATCAGACTATGTAAAACTTGAAAGAAGCAGCCAGAAAGTATCTGTGAGATGGCATCCTATATGTTAGTGGTGTAAGGTTTACTCACTAGAAATTGTTCATACATCCTCTGGTGAGATGTGATCATTAAAATTTTTTTCATATTGGTGAAAAATGTAGTCTTTCTTGCTATATCTCTGAGGCAGGGGAATGGCCAACATTTTCTGTAGAGGGCCAGATAGGAAATATTTTAGGCTTTGTGGACCATATGGTTTCTGTCTCAACTATTCAACTCTGTCCTCTTAGCTGGAAAGCAGCCAAAGACAACAGCTAAGTGAGTGGGTGTGGCTGTGTTCCAATAAAACTTTATTTACAGTAACAGGCAGTGGTCTGGATTCGGTCCTTGGGCTGTAGCATGCCAACTGCACTCTGCTCTCTAGTGCATAAGTTGAAAAAGAATACATAGGCTGCTCTGGTGTATAGGATGAAACATAGCATAAAGAGAAAAGGGAAAGTGATGAGGAATCAATGGAAGTGAAAGGAAGTATAGAGGAGGAAGTAGGAAAATGGAAGGTGGGGAATGGAGGCATAGTACGACGTGAACACAGGATGGTCTAAGAGTGGAAGTTGTGGGAAATATTGTTGAGATCTGTGTTATGATGGGAATCTCTCTGGTAAGGTTTATTTTGAAGTGTTGGAGGCCACAATGGATTGGAACAAATGAAATTTTAGGCAGGCCTGATTATCATTTACTTTTCCCAGGCATTCAAGATTCAGACATTGTATACATCTTCTTACACGTGTTCTCAAAAGTATCTGAGTTTTTCATCAACAACCCTTACTGCTTTTTCCTGGGTATCCTATTGGTAAAAACACAGCTAGTACCATATTTCATGAATTTTTTAAAATAGCTGGAACATGGGGTGCAAAAGTCTTTATAGTTGTGTGTGATAAAAGATGCAGTTTCTTATTTTGAGAATTGAATGTTTTTCTAAAAAGTTTAATTTTATAGTTGATGTATCTAGCAGAAATAGTTTTTTGCGTGTTAGTATGAGTACAGAAAATTAAGAAAGATTGGCTTGTGAGAAAAGGCTAATCAGAGGAATAAAAACAGTGCAGTATAGATCTTAAGAATTACTTAAATCTGGAACTAAATTGTTACAATAAAATAAATATTTCTTAACAGTGTTTTGAACTTGTTAAGTTTCATTTATTTTTGTTATTTGCCTGTTTCTCTTGTTTCTTGTGGCATATCTATGAGAAATGTCTGCTTTCTGAAAGTATGTAATAAGAAGGGAGAAAGTAAACTACATTTTCTAAAAATCAAAATTTTAGAATGGAGTAATATGGGTGTGCCTTCATTTAGTCTGTGAAAATATAAAATTATGCAATTTTTATAGGAAGTTATAAAAACATATACAATTTTGCAATTGAGATTTATACTGTGAAATTCTTTGAAAATATTTATTTTATGTTAAAATGAAGTATTAGTCATTTTAAAGTAGAAAAATATTATATAAATGTTACTCATATCTATAAATAAACCAGAGTAAAAAGAATATAGAATCTAATTATAGGATGAATAATGATATACTGTAGCAGAATTAAAGGCTGGCTTTTGAAATTATGATTTCCAATTAATTTGAAATTTGAAATTGTAATTTAATCCATAGACAGGTGATGATGGTTGTTCTAATCCCAATTCACACTAAAGTCTCTATTTTAAAAGATGAACCTACTTTTCCTAGTAGGATGAGAAACAGTTTTATTGTTTTAATATTGTTACTTCAAAATTTTTTTTGACAGTAAAGAAATTTACTTTAAATTCTCATTTTTGAAAGGGACCGTTTTGTTTCCAGTGGGCAGTATTTCCTAAAGAAATCCTGCTTCTGTCTTTTCTGCTCTTAGTCACTTTGTTCTCAGCCTGTGTATTCTGTTTTTCTCATGAACAAATTTAGTGCAATAAGGTGAGTCTTTTTACTTACTCTTCTGTGTTGAACTGTTTCCTGTTTGTTCTCATTCACACACTGATATTCAGACTTGCCTTTTGCATTCTTTCTGAGCCATTCCCCTCTCGCCTCCTCTAGTTTTGCTGTTCGCGGTCATCGTTCCTTCCTGCTCTTTGCTGCACCTCTAGATTTTCACTAGTCCTGTGGCACTGTTTTGTATTCTTTCAACATGATGCATTCACTCCCTTTATCCATTAAAATAAAAGAATTCCTGGTCAATCCTTTATCAAGACTTAAAAAAAAACTTTTTCTTGAAATACTTGATGAACATTTTAGTTTGCCTATTTTCAAAGTTTTGATTTACTATAAAAGTGGAGAAAAAAACTCTTAAGTTTTAGTAGAAATATTTGTGATGTTATGTCTGTTGTATATCATGGGCACTGTCTCTTTGTGGCACCGCCAACATCCAACAGATAATTTATAATTAAATGAGAGTATTAACACTTGCGTGCTATTCAAATAATGTTGTAATTGTGATGCCCATCATTAGGTTTAGCAAAACAACTGCATTTTGATTTTTTTCCCTGTCTCATACAAATATGAAGAATTACTTCGTTTGGCAAATTAAATAATGTTGTAGTGAAAATGTTAATTTGACAATAAATCACAGTTTTAAATGCCAGATGCCCCTGCTTAATGTTGTTCAGAAAGTTTATTTAGAGGATATACAATGTGGCTTACTGTTGCTGTATGTCAAGCTTCACAGATGAAGTATGATGCCTGATATTAATCTGGTTAAAGGACCTCCAGTGCCTGGAGTGTGTTGTGGATTGTACCTACATTGCTCATAGCCGCCCCCCGCCCCCTACCCTCCCACCCTTTGCCCATATTAGCAATCTGCTTTTGTACTTTGACATCCAGGATTTCCCTAGTGAATTTTGTCACAGAAAAAAGAGAATCATCAATATCGCAGTTAAACTTGACTTTCAAAGCTAATAGTATCTCATTTGGGGGCTCAAATTTAATAAATTTTCTTTGATTCTGGGTGAGTTTTTAAACATCAAACAATGAATTGGCCAGGGTGCAGTAAAATATTTAGATCTATTGACTGTTGTTCAGAAGGGTAGAAGGCAAAACACTAGTGGTTTGATGTTGATAAATTCTCAGTACCTTAATCCACATTAATGTTTTCTTTTATCTGAGTGCAGATTGGTGACAAAACAAAAAGAGCAAGAGGTGTCCATGCATATAAAATATAAAACCTAAAGCAAAGGCGTTTGTAAAATGTGATTTATTTTGTTAAGTGAGTTAAAAGTGTTCTCATTCTAACTGAAGACTGGAGAGTGTTTGCTACAGATAAATACATATTCTGAATTGGGGCTCTGGTGTGAATATTGTACTCACACTATTATACAAATTGCATGATAGTGTATGTTTCACAGCATACGCTTTGACATGCAGTTATTGGCAGAAATTCTCCAGCTCAACTTACAAGGATAAGGATGTTTATAGCCTAGATTAGCACAAACTGTGAAAGATGACATTATGTGTTTGTGTATGTTTGCTGATTAAAGGAAACCTTATGTTGTATGATAGTTCATTCATAAAGTAAGAAATAATTCAGACAGTTTTACAAGCTACCCAAGTGCAATAGAAAAATGAAGGTGAGGGCTCCTATCATTTATTATTACCAAGTTATATATGAAGTTGCTAAGATAAAACTAGAGATATAAATACAAGTATTTGAACAATGATGATTCTCCCCATTCTTTACCTTTACTACCTTGTAAAGACTCATTTCGTCCTGTGACTTTAAGCTGGTTGTATACTATTTATCAAAGACACAATGTCAAAGAGATAAAATTTTAAAACCTGTTCAGGCATAAGAAAAGTTAGGAAATATGCTTACATATGAAAACTCTTATCATTAAACTATGTGATTAAAGATGAGAGCCTGCTGATCTTTAAACTGCGGAATTTTTGAGGCTTTTACTAAATTTGGAAATTAAAAATGAAAATACCTGTTTCTGAGCATTTTCTTTTATTCAAATTATATAGTTAGTATTTCTCACTTGTCCAGAAGGTGGCAGTGTAATATCAACTGCATGTGATGCGGAAACTAGCTTGCGAATTGGTATTTCTCCCGTATCGTATCTGTGATGTGTTTGTATTGTTACCTTTCCGAATACTTCAAGTATAGTACAAATACTACTGATTTTATCCATTATCTTATTTAGAAGTCGTGTGACCAAGTTGGTTTATATGTATTTAATCATTAAGATTCACATTTAATAAGAGTAAAGAGGACAAACAAACCTCTTGCTAATGTATTTTTAAGTCTCCTTGTGTGTTGAACATATTTGTTTTTATTCTGGAGTACATACTGAAGTTGTCTTGTTGAAGACTAGTGCCTAATAAGTATCTTGTTTAATATGTACCCGTTTATACTGGTTAAATTAAATATGTTATTAAGAGAGTGAGAATAAGTAAGAGATTGCTGTTTATATTTGTTTCTTGTGGGTTTGTTTTTCCTTCTTTCCTTTTTCTTTTGAGGGTGGAACAGTGAAAAAATAATTCAAAACCTCTTGATCAGAAGAGCTCCAGCGACTCTTCTTCCCTCTGCTCATTTCAAGCAGGAGGATGCTTTTTCTTCTTAACATTCTCCCCCAGCACTCTGAATTAGAGATTTATTTGCAACGAAAAATCAATTAGTCCTAAATTTATTCATGGATTTCAGGTCTAGCGATCAATGCAAGTCCACTCAGTGGGCTCAAGGGGACCCAGTTCATCCCAGTTAATGTGTCTGAAGGGGAATTACCATTGATGCTATTTTTTTCCCTTTAGGTCAGAGATCAGATCTCGCTGTCACGGACTGCGGCAAGTAGGAATGACTTCACCCTGCAGCTACCCAGACTGCACCTGGAGACCTTTGCAATGGAGGGGCTCAAGGGCGGGCCAGAGGTTGTAGCGTGCCAGGTTAGAGTCTAAATAACATTGTTTGCTACTGACACATGTAGAAAAATAAATTGCACTTACTGGGGAGAATGGAAGAAGCCTCAAAGTCTTGTGACTAACTTAAAGGAGATGCAAATAATTTTTCCTCATTTTTCTTCTGTCTTGTAACACTATGTTTCACAAGTAATTGTATTTTTTTCTTTAGAGCCTAGAACTAGCCCCTTAAATAATCCAGAAAAGTATTTCTTACCAAGGAAAAAATGTATGTTTCATAGCTCAGTACAGTATTAAAAGAACATTCTTTCTGGGTAGCAGACGACAATAAGATACTAGGCTATTATCTCTTCAAGCTTGTCTGAATTTGTAACTCTAACTCTTTTAAAATAAATCACTTTAGATAAAATTATCAGGAGAGATATTTGACATTTTTCAATGTTAATTCCAAAATATATCCAATATTCTTAGGTTGTAACTTCAACAAATCTAGAACCTAGCTCTTCTTTGCATGAAGAGTATTTTATACTTTAATGATTAGTTTTAATGAACATTGTAATTAATATGTGCCAAAGGAGTTATTTCATTTATAAAACTCAAAGCACCAAATCATAAAACCTTAAATAACTTTAAACTTAATAAAGATATTTATTTTCAAAAACATATTTATTTTCAGGAGCTGCAGCTAGCCTTCTGTTCTAGATTGCTGTTAGGTTATTGTAATCATTTTTTTTTTCCTTTAGGCTTAAAAATATTTTTGAATCAGACAAAACAAAATTTAGTATATATTTTATTCTCTCTTTAATGTCCAATTTATTTATTGCAAAAATCTATCAAGGTTGTATAAATTATAGGGAGCCCGATAATTCCAAAAGAGATTGTCCTTGTTCAATAAAACCCTAGAGTTTTCAGTGTATTTAAGAGAAATATCTCTTAAAACTCTGTCTCTGCTTCACATTTTGAGATTTAAGATGAACTTTTTCATTCTTCAAGTTTATGACCCTGTGAAATTTTAACATTTCAGTCCAAGTGGGGCTATGTTAATTTTTTTCTACATGCTCCATACCCTAATTTAATGTTATTAGTACTCAAATTAATACTCAACAAAGAAAAAATACTTGCTTCTTTCATTAGAATGTCCACATATTATAGTAAAATATATGTAATTATACACCAAAGCATAAGACACTTATTTTTAGTTATAGACCCGCATACTATGCTATTATTTAGTTCAAGATTAATATGTACATTTAAAATATGATTATATGTGAGTTTAATATGATTTGATATTTTTCTAGTGGTTGTAAAATAATCCTTTACTTGGTTGTCTTAATTTGGAATCTCCCAGGGCTTAGTACTTATCATAATTCACAAATAAATACTTCCCCCAAACTCTAGATATTGATGATTTGTAAAGAGACTGATTCCTCGGAATGCCTTTTTTAAGGTAAAACATGAACTTTCTAGAGTCCTGACATCTGTGAATAGCAAGAAGGAAATGTATAATCTTGTATTTTAAACTACTCTCTTTCCCAAGTTCTAATAAAAATAGTTATATGGGTTACCATATACCTAGACACTTGAGTAAGTTTTATATTTAGGTGCTCTAATATGCATTGTAGTTTAGTAATATATGTTTTGCTTCGGTATGCAGAGAAGAGTACATGATTTGGGCCATAATAGGTTTTCAGGCACGGATGCATGCATGCACTTGCACGCAGGCATGCAATTAGTGATATGGAGTACTTTGAGGAGAAAGGCACTGTATTAGTTGAAGACCTTAATTATAATAATTATAACTGCCATTTTAGTGAGCACTTAGTATGTAGCTAGTATCATGCTTAGCTCTATAAATAATTGATCTCAATTACAATGGGCCTTTCAGGCAGACAGCATTTTTCTCATTTTACAATTGACAGACAACAAATAGAGCAGGTAACTCTCCTCAGATCAACAGCAAGTAAACGGCAGGGCCTAGAGTCTGGGTTTAAGTCTAGGTATATTTGACTGCAAAGCCTGAACTGGTAAAATCTGACAGTAAAAATCGAGACATGGGTGTTAAATGGTAAGCATAAAGCCTTTGAAATCTGTGGTGGAGTTTTTCTTCCATTTATAAAGTATACATTATGCGTCTGTGTATGAGGTAGGTCGTAGTTTATGGTGTATTATAGACATATTCACAGATAATTTTGCTTCCATTTGATAGGCTGTTCTACTTTTCACCTTTGCAGTATATGTATGTATATGTATATACTTATACTAAGTATGCACCATATTTAGGAATTCACTATTTGTTTAACTTTGTAATCTCTGCTGGTGAGGTGGACTGTTCAAAGTGTGCCTCACCTTTGATGATGACGAGGAGAGGCCCACTATGCAGGATGTGGTTGTGTCTGAATTATTTGGCCAACATATGCAACCGTCATTTAGAGCAGTAGGAGCTGATGTTTTTCTAGACAGCCACTGTGTGTTGTTTCCAAAGGGGCATGCTTTCTTATAGGTATAATCCTGGATGGAGGGAAGACCAGTGAGCACAGCTGAAGGCTGAGAGGATGAGTGGATTACCTTATCTCTCTGAACCCAGAAGAGTGTGTGACTGATGCTCTCCTACAGGAGATAATTCAGTTTGGCTAGTCTGAGATGTGCTAGCTTTTAACCTCAGTTTCCATATGTGCAACAAAGTGTAATGCTGACAGTTTCTCAGGCTTGTACTGAGTTTGAATGAGGCAGTGCATGTAAAGTGGAGAGCACAGGGCCTAGCACAAAGGCAGCAGACAAGCAGGCTGGCTCTTGTTATTGCGCACCTACATATTGCAGTATGAGGCACCTTGTAAAGATGACATAAGCAATAGTAGTATAGTTTGATTTTATTACTTTTGGGGTGTGTGGATTTTTTTTGGGTGTGTGTTTTGTTTTTTTAAGAAATGGTTGTTGTTTTTCAGTCACTAAATCATGTCCGATTCTTTGCATCCCCATGGACTACATACAGCATGCCAGGCTTCCCTGTCCTTCACTGTCTTCTGGAATTTGCTCAAACTAATGTCCATTGAGTTGGTGAGGCCACCCAACGATTTCGTCCTCTGTTGAACCCGTCTCCTCCTGCCCTCAATCTTTCCCAGTATCAAGTCTTATCCAGTGAGTTGGCTCTTTGCATCAGGTGGCCAAAGTATTAGAACTTCAGCATCAGTCCTTCCAATGAATATTCAGGGTTGATTTCCTTTAGGATTGACTGGTTTGATCTCCTTGATGTCCAAGGGACTCTCAAGAGTCTTCTCCAGCACCACTTAGGATCTTTTCTTTGTGTCTTTCATTCTTTCTTGTTTCTTCAAAGCTTTAAGTTTTGATCAAGATCAACTTTAGCTCTCTCTTTACTTTTCCTTGTTACTTGATGTTCCAGTGAGGCCAAGTTGCTAATGAACCCCTGTTAAGATCCTATGGCAAGTTTAGAACTATTATTCCTTGGCTTTTATCTCCTTAATAGCAGCATATTAGTCTACTAGGATACTGGACAAAAAATAGAACACCTAGATAAGACAAGTTAACTTTAGCTGAAAAACCCAGTGCAGTGTGAATGCAGAGGACTTTGTAAGAAAAGATATTCTGCCCGTAATTTATTAAGATAATACCTATTACTCATTGTCTTATACTTTGAATTCTGTTTTTTCAATGATTGTATGATGCTTTTAATATCTGGAAAATATTAGCAGACATCCAGTAAGTGTCTGTGCCTCCATTCCCATTCAACGATAACCAGCACAGAACAGTATCAATGTTAATATTATTGATATTGTTGCATGCTTATTCCATGCCAGCTACTGTGCTAAATAAACACCTTACATTTACTTTCTCATTTAATCCTTGCAACAGTACTATAAATAATGGGTGCTCTGCTTTTATCCATTTTCCAAAAGAATAAACTGAAATTTATTAAGAAGAAGAAAATTGTTAAAGGTCACATATCCAGTGAGTAGGGTCAGTGGTCTGTTCATTCTTTTAATCATGCCTTTCTGCCTTCTGTGCACCATGGCATGGTGTTGTGTGTGTTTTAAAATAGCTGAGAGGAAAAAGAAATAAAGGGTAAAGCCTGTCTGTAAAATATAGTTTCTTTTGTGAGATCATGGCAAAAATAGAATCCAAAAGAGGTTAATGGGAAATGTTACTTAAATTGTGTATTTCAGCCTCTTCATCTGTAAAGTGAAGAATAATAGAAGTTTCAAACTCGGTGTAATGATTGAATGGGTTAATCCATTGAAGTGCTTAGAATAGTAACGGGTACATGGTAAGTTTATTAGCTTTCCACCAACGTGAAAGCTTTATGAGGCCAAGAACTTGATTTTGTTCACAGTCATACCATCAGAGCTCAGAACCCTGCCTCACACAGAGGAGGCCCCAGTGCACGAATACTTGATTTCAGGCACTAGACAAGTTGACTCAGGAAGCTGCTGTGCCTAAACTGTGCATGCCTTTAAGAAATTTGGGATCATTTTTTTAAACTTCTAAACCCATTTCATTTAAAAGGAAAAGTCCCCTGAACCATCTCATAAAGGCTTAGTGCACAATAACTATACCTCTGGAAATGTAGTATATTTTATAAATATATGTTTATAAACACTTCATTAGAATGGCTTCATTGTGAAACCATTTATTTATGAAGATTTTAAACAACAGTCTTCACCATAAATCCAGTAATCCTTTAATCACCCATAACCTACTGTGTTATTATGAAGTCCTTACTTGGTATGGTTGTTTGTTATGTGTTATACCCACAACTTTTGGGATACTGTGGTTTTTTACATTTAACTTACTTTCCAGGCATAGAAATTTCTTCCAGCTATTTTGTTGTATTTATAAAGTTAAATCATAAAAGAGCATCTTGAAAGGATGTTTTTTAATGTAGAGAAGAAAGAAAGAAATATCTGTACCTAAGTACTAAACTGTCAGGGAATAAAAATATCAAGAATCAGCCACTCTTAATAATTTTTTACATGTGTTCCCTGTTATACTGCTTGATGCAACAGCCTTCTAAT